GTCCATCAATTCTATCGTGAGCAGTAAATCCACCAAATGAAAACTTCATTCCAATGGCCAGTGTTTTTCTATGAATGTCTCAAATTATGCACAAGCATGAACAGTAATCAGCACGTATGCTCTCATGACATTCATTTTTGATGAAGTATTAAACAGATCTCCAGAATCTTCGGCACTTATCCTAAGTTTGCTGTTGGGACTTTGTGAAAAAAAAAATCCCTTTTAGTCTTTACAAGAAGTCGCTAGAATGTATATCAGTATTCGTCCAAGGTCTCCCTGTATAGACCTCTATGTCCTTGTTTATAACCATGCATAAACCACCATGTTAACCACCAGACCAAAGACTGCGGATTTCTACATTGCCTGGTTATATAAAAATATCAACTAGGAAGAGACTAATAACCAAGTCAGATTAAATATGGAGTGTGACAGTGTTTCCAGAGGAAAAAAGTCAGACATCACATTAAACAGCTCAGTTTTTAAAATAGAAGGGGGAAGTAAAATTTGAGGTTTGTGTGAGAAGCACCCAGTTAAACCTTAGTGATCTAACTGGGTCCTCCAGTTTGATAGAAGCAGAAAAAAAGAGTTCGCCAACTCTACTGTCCCAACTACAGCCAGGAGGAATAATCAAGTTGTCTCAGGAAAAGAGGTTTTTAAGAAATGAGCAGAATGGAGGAGCTTCGCGTATCATTTTCTCTTCTATGGAGTCAGGAGACAAAACACACACGGCCCCAATTCTCCAAGTCTAGACAGTTAGCGTGCATGAGAATCACCTCCATGGGATTTGGTAAAATGAAAATTCCTGGGCCCCGCCCCCAGGTCTTTTCATTCAGCAGTTATGGAATCGGTCCAAGAATTTGTCATTTGAATAAACATATTAGGTAAATTCATTCTGAGGCAGGGAGTTCGGAAATACTGCTCCTGTGTTGACACCTTAATAGTCTAAAATACAGTCCAATATAGAGTGGCAGAAAGAAACTGCGTATTAGATTTAATTAAAACATCCTTCTTGGGCGCCTGGGTGGCTCAGTTGGTTAAGTGTCCGGCTTCGGCTCAGGTCATGATCTCCTGGTTTGTGGGTTCGAGACCCACATTGAGCTCTGTGCTGACAGCTGAGAACCCAGAGCCCGCTTTGGAGTTTATGCCTCCCTCTCTGTCCCTGCCCCTCCCCAAATTGAGCGCGCGCGCGTGTATGCACTCTCTCTAAAATAGACATTAAACAAACAAACAACATCCTTCTTTTTCACCCCCAAAGTCCAAAACAATCCGCGTCAGTTACGCGGCTGGCCAGCTCACCTAAGCAGCGGTAGGGAATCACAATGCGGGCGTGGGTCTTGCATTGCTTGTGGCCCCTCTTGCACCAGTTCTGGATGGTCACTGGTTGGTTGGCTTCCACCACGTTGGTGATCTGCAGTTCAGGGTAGACCTGGGGGAGCACACAAGAAGGACAAACTGTGAAGCAGACAAACTGTGAAACTGTGCACACACCCGATCCATGGTTGCTGTTCGAAGGCACCACGATCTCCGGCGTTCGCACAAGCCTCGAACATTCAGGGTAGAGAAAAAGATGTAAGTGACAAGAACCTAATCGTTTCATTCAAAATATCAAATGAGGTGACTTTTATAAAATCTTCCTGTACCCATTCGGGCTCAAGATACTTTTTTTTTTTTTCCAGGGGAGATAAAACAGAAACAGAAGGGGACCCTCTAATAAGTACAGGGTATTTAATGCAAAATACACTGGTATGAGAATGATATTCTGTAATGCCCTAAATAAATGTTACAGTACAGGGGCGCCTGGGTGGCTCAGTCTGTTGAGCGGCCGACTTCGGCTCAGGTCATGACCTCACAGTTCTGGAGTTCAAGTCCCACATTGGGCTCTCTGCTATCAGTGCACAGCCCGCTTCAAATCCTCTGTCCCCTTCTCTCTCTGCCCCTCCTCTGGGCTTGCTCACTCTCTCTCAAAAATAAACATTAAAAAAAAAATGTTACAGTAGATACCTCTGGGAATATTACCATTACTTAAATTCAACCCACCCCTATTTTGTTAATTAAGCAAACATTTTACATACAGGATTTGACACATAGCAAGCTTTCCATATAAAAACCCTTCTCTTTATTCAATGTAATTTTATATAAAAATAATTAATCAAACAGTTATCATGGGTGTCATTTAGATAAAGAATCGCATTCAGGAATCTCTTCCCTTGAGAACTAACTACAGCCCTTCGGTTTGATCACTGATCTCTGTAATCATGGTGTTTCCTGAGCACTTGGAATAAAATGTGAAAACTTGGTCAACTGTAGGTGTGAAATACCAGATCACTTCTATTAATAATAGAGTGGAGACTTGAAAAGACTAGAATAGACTAGAATAGAGTAGAGACTTGAAAAGTAGAGACTTGAAAGAAAAAAAAAACCCATAAAAATGTATTTCCCAAATAGGCTTTCCCTTGCATGAATCTTGTACTTCTCCAGGGTTGCTAATGTCCTAAAGACAATAAAGAGAGAAAAGCCTAAGACAACTGAGGTGATCAGCAAACGAATGCTTATAATGATGGGCTGTGAAATCTAAACTGGGAATATGAAGGTGGGATACTGTGGTAGGATTCCTTCCCTAAGGAAAGAAAAAAAGAAAAAAAAAGAAAAAAAGGAAAAACAACAACCTCAAGGCAACCCGGCTATAGGCTTAGTGACAACATCCCTCATGACCTTGTAACGCGAAATCACTTAATCAGACCACATGTTTGTGTGTTACCATATATGGGAGACGAAGAAGTAGACAAATATAGAAGAAACTACACCACGTGGCGTTTGGGGGGCTCCGTTCTTCGGGTACGACCCCAACTAAACCATGCCGATAGGAATAAAGTTGCTTCCTGGAAAGACAAGCCTCCAGGTCACAACTCTCTGTGAGAGAATCCCGCTACGATACCTGCTCCAAAGGCTGTAGTATCAGTGAGTCCCGGTGCGGGCTACAGAATTTTGGCATAAAGGTACCGAAGCAAGTGCGGTGGTTGGAATTGGTACTTGCAACATCAGAGCGTTGAAATTGCGACTTTGGAGGAGTGACGTTATGAGTAATTTCAAAGAGTACAATCCGGCCATGGGAGGGAATGGCTGATGGCAAGATCACTGGCAGAATGAAAGATCAAGGAACTGGGGACACTGGAATCGCGGAAGGGCCGTCGAGGTTGACGTGGTTTGGGTGACAGAAAGCCAAGAACTAAACCCTTCGAAGACTGGCGGGGGATGCCACTGAGGCATCCAGAGGACTCCAACAGACAGAACAGAAAGGTAATCTAGGTCGCACGCATGCGCCTTATGTGTGGGGCAGGGGGGCGTTCACGGGGAAGAGGGGAAACATGGTTCAGAAGTGAAAACGAGGAGGAAGGAGAGGAAGGAGGCCATCCCCCCCTGTAGGCACAGCGCTAGGAGGGCTGTGCGGGAAGAACTTCTACCAGGCGGAGCAATCCTTGTGGGGGAGAACCAGGTTTCCAAGCAAGAAGATAACACCCGCAGCGTGGGCTATGGGTGTGGGGAATTTCACTTTTGATTGTCAGTGACGTTCGGAAAGAACCTGCCATGATCCTATCTTCGTTTGAACTTGTTATTTTGTTCACGGTGGGCTTTTGGGATTAATTCTGATTTTTAAAATACTGCGTTAAAATATTATCTGGTTCCTGAGTGCTTCACTCACCGCACTCTAGTCCCAGCCCCGAGATAAATCAGTCAAAAAATAAATAAGTAAAGGAACAAGAACAGATTAAAAAAACCGTGGTACATCCAGACAACGCGTTATCCAGCATCAAACAGAAATGAACTACCAAGCCACAAGAAGACCTGGAGGAGCCTTAGTGCATATTACGAAGGAAAAGAAGTCAATCTGAAAATGCTCCATACTGTAGGATTCCAACTATAGACATTCTGGAAAAGGCAAAGCCATGGAGACAGCAAAAAAGATTAGTGGTAACCAGGAGTCAGGGAAAGGGAAGGCGGATTTTTAGGGCTATGAAATTATTCTATATGATACTATTATAGTGAGTATGTGTCATAATACATTTGTCCAAACCTATAGAATGTACAAGACCAAGAGCTAACCCTAACGTAAACCCTGGGCTCTGGCTGATTACGATGTCAGGGTAAATTCATCAACTGGAAGAAATGTACCACTGGTGGGGGGGTGTGGATGATGGGATGATGAAGAGGGGGGACAGGGGACACATAAGAAATCCCTGGGCCACCTTCTCAATTTTGCCGTGAACCTGAAACTACTCTAAAATATAAAGTGTATTTTTTAAACAATTAAAAAGGGGCGCCTGGGTGGCTCTGTCGGTTCAGCGTCCGACTTCAGCTCAGGTCATGATCTCACAGTTCGTGGGTTCAAGCCCCAGGTCGGGCTCTGCTCTGACAGCTCGGAGCCTGGAGCCTGCTTTGGATTATCTCCCTCTCTCTCTGCCCCTCTCCCACTCACACTCATGTTTCTCTCTCAAAAATAAATAAACAT